TTATTCATAATAATATTGAATTAATTTTTAAATATTGAGTTTTGAATATGTTTCTTTTTTGGTAAAAGTCTATTTAATTGCATGATTATATTTCCTTGTTGTGGAGAGCCAAAAATAGAAAGTACATTATGCAGTTGAGGTTCCAACTCTTAAGACAGGGTTTGGAACCCTTGATAATTCTATTTTTTGAAGTGTTAATGTAGAAAATTTTTCAAGTTCCAACCCCTGAAGGCAGGTTCTAATCCCTTGTACTAGAACATTAATTTACCTAGTATATTTGGAATATATGCATTCCAAAAAGGAGCTCCAACGGTAAAAACATTGATTTGCACTTTCAAGCTATAAGAATCAAATCTGGAAGAGTGTAGAAGGTAGAAGAATAGAGCCTTCAAGTTGAAAACCAAGAGTGTTTAAGTTTATACCTTGTTCTTTGAGAATTCTCTTACTTTTCTTGGTGACTTTCATTGTAACAAATGAGAAAGGAATTGGGGAAATCTTATTAGATTTATGAATCCATCCTTGAGGTATAGGAAAGGTTGAGAGATTTGTAATAAGGGATTTAAACAGCTGATAGCACCAACAAGCTATTGTAATTGGTTTCACTAGCACCCGTTGAAGCTAGTGTTAGTGGATTAAATCTCAAGCGTAGGAAACTTGAGGACTGGAGGTAGGCACCAAAGAGGGTGACAAATCAGGATAAATCGAAGTGTTTGATAGTTCTTACCCTACTCTTTTAATTCTCGCAGTTTAGTTTATAATAGCTTATTGATTGCTTGTGCTTGATCATTGCTTTATTCAAAACATTGCATAAGGCTTTTTTTGAAACCCAATTTACCCCCCCCTCTTGGGTTGCCAGCTGGGACAACAATTGTAACAAATTAACCATTGATTTTGAAAGAGAAATGCCCCACATTTAGTAGTCCTCTCGTATTAGTAGTTATAATTATGTAGTTTGTATTATATCAAGCTACACAACACCTTTTCATAATTCATAACTCATCATTAGATTTATCAAAAGCATAGAGGTATATATTCATTAAAAAAAGATTATGCACAAAATGGCTAGTGTTCTAAAAGATTGGATGCAAAAATAAAATTCACCCTTTTTGCAAGAACGTGATTGAAGTCATTTAAAAGGAGAAAGTCCAAAATCAGGGTAGGTACTTTCAACTTCAAAGAAAGACAATAAAGAAATACAATGAAGGAACGCCCATCTTTGAAAAGACAAAATAAGTTCTCCTCAAAATTTCTCTACTTGAACGTTTTCTCCTTTTTCATTTTTGGTATTATGTATCCCAAACCCAAATGCAAACCCCATTGGATTTGGATTCAATACTTCAGAGATGGAAAGCTTCTTCAAGAACGTTGTTTTTCTCTTCTACTTTCTCTTGGTAGTGAAGGTTGCAGGGCTCCAAGCCGCCAAAGATGAATGCCAAACCAAAAAGTGCAATCACCATATCATCTGGTTCTTGTACCAACTAAAGGTACAACAACTGCAACACTGCGGCTATCATGGGTTTGAACTCTCCTACGAAGACAAGCAGACTGTGCCCAAGTTGCCACGGAATGTAAAGTTGTTCGTGAAGCGTATAGATTACAAAGCAAAGAGGATTCAATTATATGATCCTCAGGGTTGCTTTCCCCTGCAACTTCCCAATCTTAATTTATCTGCATCTTCCTTCCAGTACTTGAGACTAACTCCCTTCCAGTTCAATTCTGTTGAGTCAAAGTACAGTCTTTTCAATTGTTCAAGGAAAGCAGCTATGGGTATTAATTATGAATTTTATGAGATTCCTTACTTAAGTGTCTCAAGCTTCCAAGTTCTAGCTTTTCCTTCCGATTCTACATCTGCTTTTAACTTGTTAAGTTGCAGGAGAACGTCACTCAACACATTGGAGACACTGGTATACGAACATATGTTATATTACCAGACAAGGTATGTTCATTTGAGTTGGTCCCAACCAGATTGTAGTAAATGTGAAGAAGTAGCCAGGAAATGCAAGCTGAAGAAAAATAATAGGACACAGGATGACACAGAGTGTTATGGTACCACAAAGAATCAAAGAGGTATGCTTTTACATAAATATTATTATGACTTGCACGTGGATTTATTAATGATATTTTGGTCATTTCCAAGCAGACTGGCATTTTTTTAGCCATTCTAGACTAAGAACTGCAACCTTATACTTTTAACTATTCTACAATGTTACTGTTGAAGATTAATGAAACAGTGCAACTAGTTACTGTTCACACGCATTGTTCACGTTTTGTTCAAGTTCAATCAAGTTGCTGAGAAGTTTTTTTTGTTGATTTTCCAACCTAATCTTTATCTCCTTTTGATGTTAAGTGTTCATTTGAAAATGTAGGCTGGCATTAATTGTATGCAGTACCATGCCTTTGTTTTATGGGGTTTATATTATTATTAAATTGTAGGTGAACATTGTAATGTGTTGGGAATGATCTGTATAAAAGAATATACCAAAAACTAATGTAATATGTATGGAAAATTAGTGAGAAAAAATTTGAGCATTATCTCTAGCTCGTTTTATGTCATTTCCTTCATCTTTCACATGTTTCTCAAGATTCATTTCTTGAGTTTTATGTTGGTTTGAATTAGTTTTCTTAACTGAGCCTACAAATGGTATCAGAGCCCACTTCTTGAGGGATCTGTAAGTGCAGTGAGAGAGTGTAAACATGAGTTGTGGTGAGGGAGAGAAGTCTATGACTTAGTAAACACGGCAATGTCCTGAAACAATTCTGGTTCACTTTCAAATCCACCTCTTTTCACAGGGGAAAATTACAGCATGTGGTCAGTGAAGATGAAGGTTTTCTTGAAAGGAAATGGTCTTTGGGATTTAGTGGAGAATGGCTTTCATCCTCCTCATCTTCCTAACAATCCTACTATTGCTCAGTTGAAGAATCATTCAAAGTATGTAGAAAAGGCTTACCAAGCACTCTCACACATCCACAGTGGTGTTGTAGATTCACTTTTTCCAAGGATCATGGGTGTAGAAACAGAAAAGGAAGCATGGGATACTCTGAAAATTGAGTTTGAAGGTGATACAAAAGTGAAAGGTAACAATGTTATCACACTCAAGAGACAAGTTGAGATGCTGAGAATGTTAGAAGATGAAACCGTTCACCAATATTCAACCAAGCTACAAGACTTGGTGAACCGAATTAGGGCAAATGGTGGTGAGTTTCCAAACAAGAGGGTTGTTGAGAAGATCATGGTGAGTGTTCCAGACAAGTTCGAGTCTAAGATTTTAGCCATTGAAGAAACTTGTGACTTGGATACAATGACTGTTAATGAGCTAATTAGCAAGTTGAAAGCTCATGACCAAAGATTGACTCTAAAAGGTCAAGTTGCTGCAACTGAAGGTGCCTTCCAATCAAGACAAAAAGGAAAGCAAGTAGTTACAAGTTCAGATTCTAAGCCCTCCTATGACAGCCTTGACAAAGGGAATTTGGTTGAAACACAAACTCAACCAGTTTAGCAAACCAGGAAGGATAGTTTTCCACCATGCTTGTATTGTGAAAGAACTAACCATGAGGCAAAAAATTGCTGGTATAAGGGGAAGCAACAAGTGCAATGCCATGCATGTAAAAAATTTGGTCATAAAGAGAAGTCTTGTAAGGCAAAGAAAGGCCAGTACAGACCAAAACAATCATAGCAAGCAAACTACTCAAATGATCAACTAGGTGAAGATCACTTGTTCTTGGCTATTTAAGGGAGTTCTACCTCCTCAAAAGATTTCTAGTATGTGGACAGTGGCTGTATCAGTCACATGGCGAAAAATGAAGATTACTTCACAGAGATTGACAAGTCCGTGAAGATAAAAGTCAAGTTGGGCAATGGTTCAATGGTGTAGACACAGGGGAAGGGAACAATTGTTGTACAAACTTCTTCAGTTACCAAACTAATTCTAGATGTTCTTTACATTCTTTCCTTGAGTCAGAATTTATTGTCAGTACCTCAAATGATGAAAAAAGGCTATAGTATGCAATTCAAACATGATACCTACACCATATATGACTCTACTGATTCTAAAGTCATTAGAGTTCAGATGATTAACAACAACTTTCCTGTGAATTGAAATTTAATTCAGTGTTGCTCATATGCTGCTAAATGTGATGATACATGGTTATGGCACAAGAGATATGGTCATTTCAATATGAAATCTCTTAAATTCTTGCAAACAAATGAGTTGGTTAGAGATTTGCCAAGCATCAATTTGAGTGATGATGTGTGTGAAGCCTGTCAACTTGGAAAGCTACATAGACAAGCTTTTCCAGTTAATCAAGCATGGAGAGCCACTGAAAAGCTTGAACTCATTCATACCGACATTTGTGGACCTATGAAAATAGAGTCACTCAGCAGCAACAAGTATTTCATTTTGTTTATTGATGATTTTACGAGGATGACTTGGGTGTATTTTCTAAGCAGCAAAAATAAGGTTTTCTCATTGTTTAAGAAGTTCAAAGCCTTAGTTCAAAACTAGAGTGGCTGCAAAATCAAGACCTTGAGGTTTGATAATGGCAAAGAGTACACCTCTTCTGAATTTAACAAAATTTGTGAAGATGCTGGCATTGGGCACCAACTAACAGTTCCTTATTCACCTCAGCAAAATGGTGTCTCAGAGAGGAAGAATAGGACTGTAATGGAGATGGCTAGGTGCATGTTGCATGCAAAAAGGTTGCCTAAATCATTTTTGGCTGAGGTTGTTTATACAACTCTTTATTTACTGAATTCTCTTCCTACAAAGGTTGTGAAAGGAAAAACTATGGTAGAAGCATGGTATGGCATCAAACCTTCTGCCAACCATCTTAAGGTGTTTGGTTCAGTGTGTTACAGTCATGTTCTAGATGTAAAAAGAACCAAGTTGGACCAAAAAGCAAATGTTGGCATCTTTGTGGGCTATGCAACTCAGTCCAAGGGTTATAGGGTGTATGATGTGCACTCTAAGAAGGTGAATGTTTATAGGGACATTAAAATTGATGAAGATGCCTACTGGAATTTTGAGTAGCAAAAAATTGAAAAACATGGTTTTGTTTTGAAGAAGGTTGATGTTGATGGAACCAGAATTGCTAATTCAAATTTAAATGGGAGAATTTCTGATACGGATGATGATTCTCCTATCTTGAAAACAAAGTCCTTAGAGGAAATTTATGAGCAATGTAGCTTTACAGTAGATGAGCCATCTAATTATGCAGAAGCATCCACGCATGAAGAATGGAGAAATGCAATGCAGGAGGAGCTTAGTGCAATTGAAAAAAATGTTACTTGGTCAATTACTTCTAGGTCAGAAGACAAAAATGTTATAGGAGTTAAGTGGGTGTACAGATCAAAGTTAAATGCTTATGGTTCTTTGAACAAATATAAGGCTAGGCTTGTGGTAAAAGGGTATGCACAACAACCTGGAGTTGATTTTGGAGAAACATTTTCTCTAGTAGCCAGGCATGATACTATAAGGCTTCTCTTGGCCTTAGCTGCTCAAAAGAAATGGAAGGTTTATCATTTAGATGTCAAATCTACCTTTTTAAATGGAATTCTAGAAGAGAAGTTATATGTTGAACAACCGGAAGGTTTTCTGGTTCAAGGCTGTGAAGATCATGTTTACAAGCTGCATAAAGCTCTTTATGGCCTGAAACAAGCCCTTCGAGCTTGGTATAGCAGGATTGATTCCTACTTGATAAAACAAGGATTTCAAAGAGGTGAAACTGAATTCACTCTTTATGATAAGAGTGGAAATCCAAATTCTCAGTTGTTGGTCTCTCACTATGTTGATGATCTTTTGGTGACTAGAGGAGATGCTGAACTCCAAAAATTCAAGGCTTCCATGCAAAATGAATTTGAAATGACAAATTTGGGAGTGATGAAATATTTTCTAGGAATGGAAGTGATGCAATGTAGCAATGGAATGTTTGTTTCATAAGAGAAATATGCTAAGGACATTCTTAGGAGGTTCAGAATGAATAAATGCAAGCCAATTGCCATTCCTCTTGCACAGAATCTGAAATTGTCTAAGGATGATGATAGCTTGAAGTGTAATGCTTCATTTTACAGAAGTTTGATTGGGAGTTTGCTCTATCTTACAGCAACAAGGCTTGATCTTATGTTTGCTACCAGTGTGTTATCAAAGTACATGACTTCTCCATCTCAAACTCATTTCAGTGCTACTAAAAGAGTTTTGAGATATGTAAATGGAACTATTAATTATGGAATTATGTATAAGTCTACAAGTGATGGTTGTTTGCAAGGCTATATGGATAGTGACTGGGTAGGATGTCCTGATGACTCAAAAAGCACTACAGGATATGTTTTTTCATTTGGTTCAGGGATGTTTTGTTGGAATTCATCCAAGCAGGAACCTGTAGCACAATCTACAACAGAAGCATAATATATTGTTGTTGGAGCTGCCTCTAATCATGCTATATGGTTGAGGAAAATATTGAATGACATGGGACAACCTCAAGTTCTGACATGTGTGATCCAAATTGACAACAAATTAGCCATTGCAATTGTTGAAAATTCAGTGCAACATGGAGGAACAAAGCATATTCATGTGAAATATCATGTGATCAGGCAATATGTAAGGAGAAGGAAATTAAGCTTTTGCACTGTGATTCTAAAGTTCAAGCTGCTGATATTCTCACAAAATCCTTGCCAAAATCCAAATTTGAAACTCTAAGGTCTATGCTTGGTTTAACAAAGAAACCTCTCAAGGAGGAGTGTTGAAGATTAATGAAATGGTGCAACCAGTTACTGTTCACGTGCACTATTGACGCGCACTGTTCATGTTCTGTTCAAGTTCAATTAAGTTGCTAAGAAGTTTCTTGTTGATTTTCTAAGGTAATCTCTATCTCCTTCTGATGTTAAGTGTGCACCTGAAAATGTAGGTTGGCATTAATTGTATGTAGCACCATGCCTTTGCTTTATCGGGTTTATATTATTATTAAATTGTAGGTGAACATTGTAATGTGCTGGAAATGATCTATATAAAAGAATATGCCAAAAATTGATGTAATAAGTATGGAAAATCAGTGAGAAAAAATCTAAGCATTATCTCTAGCTCGTTTTATGTCATTTCCTTCATATTTCACATGTTTCTCAAGATTCATTTCTTGAGTTTTATGTTGGTTTGAATCAGTTTTCTTAATTGATCCTATAGTTACGAATACTCACCTGCTCACTAGTTTAGCTATTTTCCTTTAATTTTGCCTTGTTTTAAGTTGTTAAAATTTTTCTGGACTTTAGTTGTTCAATTGCCTTAGTTTTTGTTGTTTTGGTACTTTGGTTTTGATTTGCTTGTATATCGTATCTCATTCTTTTTTCATTTGATACACACATCAAACTGTTGATTGTTGGAACATCTTGCAGTTTTGCAAAAAATGCTACTAGCCGTGGGCATAATCCTAGGTTTTCGATCTATTTGTAATAATTCTCATTGGACTTTACTATGTGCACCACTCATATAAATCGAAGAAAGAGGGCCAACTCAAGATTGAAAATTTTCTAGAGGATTGCTAAGCACTCAAGCCCTCAAGATATTCTTATGCTGATATCAAGAGAATAACATATCAGTTCAAGGACAAACTAGGAGAAGGTGCTTATCGAACTGTCTTCAAAGGAAGGCTTTCTAATGATGTTTTGGTTGCTGTTAAGTTCCTCAGCAATTTCAAAGCAACTAGAGAAGAATTCATTAATGAAGTTGGATCAATGTGAAGAATCAACCATATCAATGTTACTCACTTGATTGGATTTCGTGTAGATGGAAATAAAAGAGCTCTTGTTTATGACTACATGCCAAATGAATCATTGGAGAAGTTTATCTTTGCAACTAGAGGACAAAATCTTTCCCTTAGTTGGTGTTGAATAGTTTGTAAATGTTTAAGATCCCACATCAAGAAAGTGTGGGAACTTAAAGGAGTTTATAAAGGTTGATTCTTTATCAACAAATAATTAAGTAAAATGAAATCCAAGGCAAATTGGGCTTTGCCCTTTTATATATAGTCAAAAGATGGGCACTTGGGGCTTGACTGCCAGAATATCCTTAATTTTTTATTATTTTTAGATTTTTTATTTTATTTTATTAAATTAAAATTTGGAAAAACATGTCTGAAAATCATATATAACTTTTAGTAGTCAAAAGGTACCTTTATGAAATGGTGTCTTTTTTTAGGGATACCTCCTTACAAATAGTGAATTTTGAGGCAATATAAATTCCTATGCAAAATTAGAGTTCTACATCTAATTTTCTGAGAGAGTTTTAAGTTCTATTATATTTTGGAGGATTTTAAATTTTTAAGGAAAGTGATGTCGCACCTTAGAACCATTCCTTTTATTCTTCTTCTATTTCTTCTTTTCTATCAATCTTAAGGATTTAAAATTCCTTTATGGCTCTTCCTTTAAATGCCAACATTGTTGCTAAATCTAGTTGCAATCAGATTGGATAGGTTTGATGGCACCAACTACATGTGTTGGAAGGCTAAGATGACTTTCCTACTAACAACACTTAAGGTGTCATACGTTCTTGATCCAAAATTGCAACTTGTCCCAACACTGAAGGAAAACAATTTTGAAGGAATGAAGAATGCAAGACTGAAGTGTGAAGAAGATGAACTCATATGTCGTGGACACATTCTGAATTCTCTCACTGATAGACTTTATGATCTGTATCGCGATATGTCTTCTCCTCAAGAAATCTGGATTGCTCTGGAAAAGAAATATAAGCATGAAAAGAAAGGTACGTACAAGTTTCTTGCGCTTAAATATTTTGAGTTTGAAATGAAAGATGATAGTTCCACCATGGATCAAGTGCATGAATTACAAATTTTGGTATCAAGAATGTCAAAATTGGAGATAAAGATTCCAGATTCACTTCAAGTGGGGGCAATACTTTCAAAACTTCCTCCATCTTGGAATGATTATAGGAAAAAGGTTCTGCATTCAGATGAAATTTTGACTATGGAACAGTTTCAAACACATCTCCAGATTGAGGCAGAAAATCGTTCAAGAGATGCAATATTGGCACCCTCGAAAGTTAATTATGTGAGTCAAAATTCTACTACGCCTTTCAAGAATAAACTCAAGCCTCTTAAGAAAACAATGCTTTCAAGAAAGCTTCTTTCAAAATAAGTCAACCTTGTTACCATTGTGGTAACAAAGGTCATTTTATTAAAGATTGAAAATTCAAGAATAATGCAAAGAACTTTGGTTCTGGCACCAGTGTAGAAACAAGCAACAAGGCAAATTTGATTGAGCATGAATTGGTTGCTATGGTTTTTGATATGCAAGTCGAGATGGTGACTGAATTGAACATGGCAAATCCAACCAAGTCTATGGATCGATGGTTGGATTCTGGTGCAACAATTCATGTGTGCAATCACAAAACACAATTCAAGTTTTATAAAGATTTGAAGGAACCAGTGGAAGTGCTTATGGGAAACAATGTCACAGCAAAAGTTCTAGGCAAAGGCATAGTGGAATTAAAGTTCACTTCGGGCCACAAATTGACCTTGGTTAATATTTTCCATGTGCCTTATATTAGAAAGAACTTGGTGTCTGTAAATCTATTGTGTAAAAGGGGGTTGAGGGTTGTCTTAGAATTAGACAAGGCCATTATATCAAAAAATGGCAACTTTGTGGGGAAATGTTATTCGTGGGATGGAATGTTCAAATTGAGTATTAATGAAATAAATAATGTTTCTACTTATATCGTTGAGTGTTCTTCTACTTTATGGCATGCTAGACTAGGACGTGAATTATGAATCGTTAAAATATATGCCTAAGCATGGATATTTAACTTGTCAAAATGATTTTAAAAATAAATGTGAAATTTGTGTGCAAGGAAAGATGACTAGAAAACATTTTCCAAAAAGAGACAAAAATATAGAAATATTAGACGTAGTGCATTCTGATATTTGTGAATTAAATGGTCATCTTACCAGAGGGGGTAAAAGATACTTCATAACATTCATTGATGATTGTTCCAGATTTACACATATGTATCTTATGAGAACAAAAGATGGGGCTTTTGACAAGTTTAAAGAGTATAAATTTGTTGTGGAAAATTAGAAAGAGATGAGAATTAAAGCACTTCGTAGTGATAGGGGTGGTGCGTATTTTTTAGATATGTTTTCACAATTTTGTAAAGAACATGGCATCATACATCAAAGAACAGCCCTCTATTCTCCCCAATAGAATGGTTTGGCAGAAAGAAAAAATAGAACTTTGGTTGACATGGTTATTGCATGTTGATAAATTTGAAGTTGCCATTTAATCTTTGGGGAGAGGCACTTTTTACTGCCAATTATATTACCAACAGAATTCCATCGAAGAAAACTCATGTTTCTCCATATGAGACTTGGAATAATGGTAAAAAGCCAAATTTGAATTATTTCAAAGTGTGGGGGTGTCTTGCCTTTTATAAGGTTCTAGATCCACAAAGAACAAAATTAGGACCTAGAGGCATTAGAAGTGTATTTGTTGGTTATGCAATTAATTCTAAGGCCTATAGGTTACAATATTTAGAGTCAAATGTTATAGTAGAATCTGTACCTGTTGAATTCTTTGAAGACAAGTTTATTAAAGATTCTTCTACTATGTTTGATTTTGGAAATTCTTTGAATAATTCAATGCATGAAATCATAATGGTACAAGTACAATCACACTTCATGATCAGAAAAGAAAAGAGAATGATGGTTCAATTGAACTAAGAAAAAGTACAAGGATTAGGAAAGAAAAGTCTCTTTATCATGATTTTATTTCTTCTCAGTCTATTGTCTTTTTAGTTGCAGCAACCATAACTGAAATAATTCAGAAAATACCCATGATATTAAATGTTGAAGAAGATCTAAAAACATTTCAAGAAGCAATGGCTTCAAGGGATGCAGCTTTTTGGAGAGAAGCTATGAATGATCAGATGGACTCTATTATGTCCAATGATACTTGGATTTAGTGGATCTTCCGTATGGCTCTAAACCAATTGGTTGTAAATGGACATTTAGACGAAAATACAATACAAATGGAACAATACAAACCTTCAAAGCAAGGTTGGTTGCAAAAGGTTTTATTCAAAAGGAAGGAATAGATTATTTTGACACATGTGCTCTTGTTGTAAGAATAATATATATAAGAGTTCTCTTTGCATTGGCTTTGATTTATAAGCTGTTTGTGCATCAAATGGATGCTAAAACAGCATTCTTGAATGGTGACTTAAGTGAGGAAGTATACAAGGGACAACCAGAAGGCTTCATACTTCCTAGAAATGAAAGAAAAGTTTGTAAATTAGTTAAGTCATTATATGGCCTAAAGCAAGCTCCCAAGCAATGGCACCAGAAATTTGATACACATATTTTGGCAAATGGATTCAAGCATAATGATGTAGATAAGTGTATCTACTGAAAGTTCACTAAGGATTATGGAGTTATAGTATGTCTCTATGTTGATGACATGTTGATATTTGGTACTGACATGTTGGGAATAAATGAAACCAAAAAG